TTTTTTTTTTTTTTTTTTTTTTTTTTTTGTTTTACTTTTTTTTTACAAAAAAAAAATAACTAAAAAATTTTTAATTCACAAATTTTTTTTAAAAAAAAAAAAAAAAAAAAAAAAAAAAAAAGAAAAGAAAAAAAACCCTGCATGTTATATTTGTTGCGGAAATATAATTGTAATTTCTGCCATGCGACCCTGCAAGTTTCGATAATGGATGAATGTTTACTTAAAGATTTTGTAAAACATTTTTGAGCTCTCCACCCACAGAAACAATTCAATTATATTTGGGTTAAAGTGGCTTTTTCTAAGAAAATATATTTTCAAAATATATGCAAAATATATATGCATTATACAGTTGTCTGTATTATTCATATACAAAACAAAGTAAAACAAAAACACTATATGGTCTGGAGCTGGAGAATGAGGCCAGAAATTGATGTAGAAGAGATTTGATCACAGCTTAGTCATAATATGATTCCAATCTTTTTATCCTACTGCTGAATTGATTTAGAATTGAGTTTCTGTTCTTTTTGTGTCTAATCACAGATTTTTTAACTGTGGACTCTCATGGAATCACTGTGAAATTGTGGCCTCTGCTCTTAAGTCCAACCCTTCCCATCTGACTGAGCTGGATCTGAGCTGGAATGAACTGAAAGACTCTGGAGTAAAGACTCTGTGCACAGGAATGGAGAGTCCAAACTGCAAGCTAGAGATGCTGAGGTCAGTTCATTGACATTGTGGCTTTGCTTTGTTGATCCAAGTTGAATCTTTTGATGACAAACTTATTTAAGTTTTAAAAATGTGTTCTAACATCCTTGGAAAGTATGTGATTAAAAAGGACTTAAAATGTAAGGAAATAATGCTAAGTTTATTCTTTGTTTAAAAAATATTTACTTCATATTTTCTCAGATATTTTTGTTTTATTTTTCATCAAACTTTATTTTTAGGTAATTTTATTTTGGATACTGTTTATATTTATATTTATATTGATATTTAAACATCTCATTTCTTTAGAAGGATTTAACACATAAGTAAAATTCTTCCATAATTTCAGGAAATTTTAAGAAATAAATTCTTATTCCGATTTAGGTTTTTGGTGTCCCCAGGTAAGCAGTCACATGTGGAAATCTCTTAATCTTTTCTTTGTGTTGTTATTGGAGGACAAATGAAGATAATAGAAACCAAATAATGGTTCAGATATTCTTTTGGGTGAATTTAGGAAACACTCTTTTATTGTAGGAGGTTTTAGATTAGAGCTCCGAAGATGAATTTTTAAGACTTATAGCTCTCATCTTCAGTTCTTATATAACAAACCTAAGCCTGTTCTTCAGTTGTATATCTGTAATGCAGGATGAGAGTCAGGACGTTTTGGCATTGATTTGCGTAGGATAATTAAATGCTAATTTTTTACTTTATTTTGGTTGCTCCAAGTCATGACAGAAACAATAAATTACATAAATTTTACTCACTTAATAAAATAGATAATTAAGCTAAGTATTCTCTGTTGTAACCTGTCAGATGTAATAAAATATAAAAAGTACCTAACCCTATTAAGCAGTAACTCTATTAACCCAGGCAACATTTATGTAAACACTATTGTATTTTGTATCTCTTGAATTAAAAGTTTTTACAGTGTATTGTATTTTTTTATTTTTCTGTCATAGCCTGGTTACTGTTGGGTTCAGTTCACATTCGGTTTTTTATTCAGGTTGGAGCTTTGCAGTTTGTCAGAGGTCAGCTGTTCAAATGTGGTCTCAGCCCTGATTTCCAATCCATCTCACCTGACAACACTGAACCTGAGTGAGAACAGCCTGAAAGATGCTGGGGTGAAGGAGCTCTGCCGTTTTCTACAGAGTCCTCATTGCAAAATACACACTCTGAGGTCAGGCATCACATTTTAGATTTTTAAGATTATCATCATTTTAAGGCTGTGTTGATTCTGTACGACAAATAGTGTTATACTACTTGACTTTGAGGATCCCTCAACTTGTAGAGGTTTGCTTCTCTGGGCTGAACCTGGAGAAAGTCCCCAGTATGAGTTGATCCTCATCATGGGAAGCTGTTGAGAGGAATTCAACCCACTCTAGAAAAGGAAATGCCATCTCCTGGATTTTACCAGTCAAACATATATAATCAGTTACTGATCTTGTAAAGCTCTGTCATTTTAGACTGAAATACTCAAACACAAGATGTTATCATAGCAATCTCTGCATCTGTCTCACAGTGCTTAAAGCATGATTTACATTAAATGTTTAATATTACATTATGTTTCATGGTTGCAGAAAACTTAAAACTTTCATTTATGATCATTATTATACAAAAGGTTATACTTCACTCAAACATCTTTCTGACTTTTTTTTTCCCTGTAAAACCTGAAAGATTTTGCTGCTCAACAGGAGTTAGTATTGGTGGATGGAGGTCACTGGGTCTTTATGGAAGCAGCAGAATCTTGTCATTAATGTTAATCTCTCTTTAACTTGTTCTCTCATAATCTTCAGCTCATCTTTTCTTCATTATTCAGATTATGGGGTTGCAGTTTGTCAGAGACCAGTTGTAATTATCTGGCCTCTGCTCTGAAGTCCAACCCGTCCCATGTGACTGAACTGAACCTGAGCTGGAACTACAACCTGAAAGATGCTGGCGTGAAGGAGCTCTGTGGTTTTCTACAGAGTCCACACTGCAAAATAAGGGATCTGAGGTTTGAGACATTTCAGTTTTGCTATAGTGTAATATAAATATCATATTGACATAAAACTAAAGCTATATGACTGATATTGTGCTGATCCAATCTTGGGATGTTCATTGTAAAATCACTTTTCTTTTTCAAAGTCTGGTCCTGAATTTTTTATTCCTTTCTATTTCCTTGCATAATTTACCTTACAATATGAAAAGATATAAAATAGATTTATAATCTATTTTTATGTGGAGTGTATGCATCTTGTCTGTTGATCAAAGATCTCAATTTTGAGCTATTTTTGAACTAAAACTTTGATCTCAGTTTTCAATTTGCTAGACCTTGGTTGAGTTGAATCAATCACTTTAAAAGGGGTGAATATTTAATATATATATTTAGTACATGTTTGAATATAATTCCAATGCTTTTGATGTGGTATTTTCAAAAAAGAATAACTATTTCTCTAAACTTAGAACAGCCTTGGAACAATTGAAGCTCATACTTCTGACAACATTTACCTGAAAAACAAAGTTCATTCATGTCTTCTTTTTTGATAAACATTCAGTTTAAAGGACTGCGGGTTGTCAGAGATCAGCTGTTCTTCTCTGGCCTCTGCTCTCAAGTCCAACCACTCCCATTTGACAGAACTGGACCTGAGTGAGAACTCCTTGAAGGATCCAGATGTGAAACCTCTCTTGAAGCTTGTGAAGAGTCCAGGCTGCAAACTGAAGACTCTGAAGTAAGTCCAGTAGTTGGCAGCAGTGTTGCATAAAACACTCACCCAGTCAGATCAACCAGAACTGTTTGAAACAAAGCTGCAAAAAGTTTGGACACCTCTGAGTTAGGCTACAGCTCAGATTAAATGCCTTTACTCTCCTCTTTTGTCTGCAGATGGAGGTTAATGTCTTTAGAATGAAAAGTCTACAAGCTGTGGCCTGATGATCCAGATGTTGAAGCAGCAGCTGGTCTGAGGAAACTCCTACTGGCTCATCATGATGGAGCTCATGTTTAGTTTTCCCCTTCAGTTTTTCATGCACATATTTAATATAATGAGACTGATGTCTTTAAATACTAAATATAAAATTAAAACTAAGCTGCAGTCATTACAATCCTTCATCTGCATTTGGATATATGTTGATACTAAAATGTAATGTATAATAAAGTTATCTTCAAAAGTATTATTGCTTTTTCCAGAGTATTCATGTACCTGTTTGGATAAATTTTATAAAGATGTCTCTTTTGAGAGTTGCAGAAGCAACAAGTAAGCAGTACCAAAGCAAACAGTGATACATTTAAAAAACTTGACACAATTAATCTGGCCTTCATGCACTGTTTGCAGGCATACAGTGCCTGCAAACAGTGAGTGGTTGTTGAACTGCTGCTTTGATCTTTATCTTTCCATTTTAATTTAGTCGTTCCTGTTTTCCATCTTGTTGCACTTCAGATTACATTTTCTTGTGATAGTATTTGTCTTTTCTCCTGTAGTTAATTCTGATTTTCTTTCACTTCCTCTCAGCTGTTGTCCATCACTTTGTTCTCCTGCGCTTTCCCTCAGCTGCTCCCACTTCTCGCTGATTAGCTCACAATTTAATTCTTCTCTGGATCTTCTGTTTTTCTGCTCCTCTCATCCACGTTATGCAAATATTTCCTATTATTCATCAAACTGCTCATTATTTCACATCAGCCTCCATCCTGCTGCGTTTGGCTCTTCTATCTGACTCCAACATGGCAACAATTCCCCACATTTATTTGGGAAGAACAATGAATTGTGCAGAAAAATTAAACCGAGCAATAAAGTATTTTAACCTGCAGATGAGCTTCAAAACATGCCATTTTAATCAATTGTCTTTAACTTATTCAAGGACAAAAGAGGATCTAAAAAGATTGCATGTTTTTAATCTGTTTTGGTTAACATCGCTCCATGAAACTCAAAGACATAAGTTGAATCTGTTTTTCCTGTCACTTTATTGATTTCAATTCAAAGATGAGCCTTTTATCTTTGATTTATTTGTATTTATTGTTTGCTTTATTTGACAAATTAACTGTTTATTTCTCTGTGATTCTTAAATTAAGTTTGTCTTGTATACCTCACAGTTCAGCTAATGAGTCCAAAACTGGAACCACAAAAACATCTAAAGAAACCTTTTTCTTTTCCTCTATTACAGTTATTATGCTCAACTGTTTTTAGTTTAAATAAAACACCTTCCTCCTTCAGGTCAACGGCCGACTGAAAACAAATGGTATTGAGTTGAAATTTATGGATCAGCAATGATCCATAAATAAATAAAATCCACATTTGGAAAATACGGAATCAAAGGTAAATACTATAGAGACAATTTGATTCAATTTCAAGTGAAATTTGTGATTTAATTTCACGTTTGTTTCCTTTGTTCCACTGAGAATATCTGACATCTAAAATATGATTTCACGTTTTAACTGTTTTCTTTTGTTTGTATTTCCTTGTAGAAGAGGTTTGAAATCCTCTGTTGGAGCGCCCTCTGCTGGCGGCAAATGGACACGACAGGACTCTATCAGGCAATGTTTAGGTCATCCAGGTCCAGTTCAGAGTGTTACTGGTTCCCAGTACAAACTGGTGATGCTGAAGCAGAACTCAAGATCAACATCATTTAGTTTATGAAGTCAGAAAATACTGTTTTATAAATTTATGTATCTTAAAATATCTAAGATATTCATGTTATGTGGACAACAGAAAAAAAAGGCAAAAAAAAAGATATTTAACTAACGCTGGATTTAAAAACAAAATAAAAACATTAATACAAACTCAATATTTTACACAGAACTGAAGCGGCGATTTTGAGTACTAAAATGAACTTTTAAAATAAAATAAATGCTTTGACTTTGAAGTTTGTTTCATTCTGGTAAAGAGAAACAAGAAAAGC